ATATACCTGCATAGTTTTGTTGAAGGTGCATTGATTGATGAGCATATGGGGCGGAGTGGATGCCCTTCTTTGTGAATTTTAGGTAAACCGTAAATTCTCGGGGCAACGGCCGTGTCTGTTTTCATATTTTTCTTTTCCCTTTCGTTGATAAAACCATTTTTAAATAATTCGTCAACTAGTTCGTTGTTTTTCTTTTGTAGTTTGTATGTAGGGTCCGAGCATACTCGCTTATATGCCATTATGTCATTTACTATTGTATCCATCTTTTTATCGTAATCTAATCTTTTCATGGCGACCGTTGTATTGCCTTTGTCTGCTTCCAATATAATAATGTTTTTATTTTCTTTCATAAATTTTCTAGTTTGATTCACTGTGCGTAAATAATATTTTTCTCTTTCCGATAGTTGATGTTTGTTCACGTGATTCTCTATCATTGATGTGAAGTTGTTTCTCGCTATCTCCTGATTCTCTTTGTTTCCAATGGTTTTTATGCAGTCTTCTCCGTCCGCTATGTATTTGAGTAGGGGGAACTCTTCTTTTGTATGTGGAAGAGCAAACTTTTTGCCATGTGAGAGTAGCCAATTTATTTCATCGGGTATTTCTGTGTCAGTTAAGTTTACGAACCAGTGTTTGTTGTGTTGTATTTCCAGCTCTTGCTTCTGTTGTTCTTGTAAAGCTTGGAATTTCTTTTTGTGTTTTTCTTTTATGTCTCTAAACGTCTTTTTTGATATTTCATTTTCACATTCAAAGAACTTTTTTGCATCATTTTCCCACAATATTTGTTTTATATACACCTTTGTTGCTTCTATTTTATTATTGTTTATTTTTTCAGTAAAAATGAAAATGAAAAATGCCAAAATATTACATCGGGACAACAAAAAACAAATTAAAAACACGGTTATCCGGATACAAATCAGACATAAAAAACAGATCATCAATAACAACACAGAAAACAGCACTTTCTACCCACTGTGCCACCGAACAACATCATCCAGAATTAGAGAGAGTGAGAGTGCTACAGTGCGAGAACTACTACCAAAAGGGACTTATGTTGGAAACTCTACACATAATGAATACTCCAACATCACAACGAATAAACTACAAAACAGACACAGAGAATCTAGCACACAGTGATCAGAAAAATAAACAAAATACAATAAGAGAATGCTGCAGTGACAAAACAGATGGAAACAACACAAGGTCGGCGTCGAAGCTTGGCGATATTTTGTAAAACTTTGTTATATGTTTAAACAGTATTGTTCCTGGTGATGTCTTCCGTTGGAGGACGAAATATCGGAAATAATAAATAATTAAACAACAACAAAGACCTCGAGCTCGTTTTTTTATTAAATTTACATTTGTAACAATTTTCGTTTATATTTATTTCTTGTGGATATCAAGTATCTACAAAGATCGTTCACATTGCTTTTGTTAGGTTTTTTGTGTTTAGTAGATATTGACTCAAAACATGTGGATTTTAATATATTCGTAAATTAATTTATCGATTCTTCAATGTTTGATAAAGATATATTGAGTAATGTGGAAGCCGTTATTTTTGAATTTATTAAAGTTGTAAAATTGTTCCAGTCGGCTTTATGAAAATCTAGATAAGTTGTTTCTGTATTGGAAATTTCTTCTTTAATGGAAAAAAGTAATGGCACATGATCGGAACATAAAGTATGAGGATATGTTTCCAGGTCGGTGAATGACACTGTCGAGTTTGAAAGCAGAAGATCAATAGTTGAGGCTTGTCTATGGGTCAAATTTTGTGGAAATCTGGTGGGGTAAGGTGGGTAATATATATAGTAATTGTTATTATTTTGATGATTAAATAAAGCGTTTCCGGCAGGATCGGATTTTGTGCAGTTCCAACTAGGGTGTTGTGCATTTAAGTCGCCTAAAATGAAGAAATCAACCGTTTCTGATGTTATCATATCAAGGTCAAAGACAAAGTCAGATGTGTACCGAGGACAATATACAGATAAGAATTTGATTTTGGAGTTGAGAAACTCGACGGTGATGCATATATTTTCCATCAGTTTTGTAGGATAGGATGAATCAATCTTGTGTTTCAAAGAAGATTTAATGGCGATTGCCACTCCTCCTCCATGGGAGCTTCTATCTTTTCTGTGTACTTTGTATCCAGGTAATTTTAAGTTATGATTTGGTTTAAGAAATGTTTCGTTCAGTAGGAGAATGTCAATGGATTTTTCTTTTAAAAATGTATAAAGCTCTGCAGACTGCGAGAGAGTGGTAAATCCTTGACAGTTCCAGTGCATTACTCTAAGACTTCTTTGTATATGATTATATTGCATATTTTAGCATAGTCATAATAACATTTAATTGTTCCATTTTTGTTCTACATTTACGTAGATCTGATATCGCGTGTGAAAAAATTTGAAATAGTTCATCAATACTGTAAAGTTCGGCCGTTGACATTTTTTGAGCTGATGATTCAAGTAAACCGGATTGAATATTTTAGGGTCGTTTGGAGTAGAGATTGAATTTTTTAGTTGGGGAAATTCATTTGCGGCTATATCAAAGTTAACAGGATCAGGTCGTCTTTTTACAGACAATTTCTTCATTATATTTTCTCGAATTGCCAGGTACTCTTTTCGGCATGGATCGTCGGCTCTATGGTTGTTGTTCTTAAAATTTTTCTTTGTGCAATTAAAACATTTGTATGCGACAGGACTTCCTTGTAGATTTTTGTCTATTTGGCATATAGCTACGTCGTGAGCAACCGATTTAAGGTATCTTGAAAGCTTAGGAAAAGTTTCCGGAAGGATATAAATCCTTTTTTACTAAATGTCCAATTTGCTCTACGATACAGTCCCAATGAATTGCATTTTGAGTTCTCATTGGCCGGATTATTGCCATGTGAAAGAAGTAGGTCCACGTAGGTCACTCATTCCATTTTTAATATTATTCATTCAGAATTCGAAACAAAAAAAATTTACTTCATTATAGTATGTCAAATTGAAAAAAATCACACCAAAATTATTTTTTTTCTTTCATATTTTTTTGGTATATTTACACCGATCCAAATCCGTCAAGCCGTTTTTTAGTTAGCCAAATTGAAAAAATCGTGCATCATATAAAATTGACAAAAAATAAAAACAAATTGACAAATTTTGTTGTTGCAAAATGGTCAGGCTTAATCCCATTATTGTTGTTTTTATAAAAACAACGTTTGTTTATTTATTTTGAAGAACGATGGTAATGTTTATCAAAAATCTTCATCTTGTTCGATTATTTTTTTACAGCATAGTTTAAAGTCCTTACGAAGTTTGTCAATATTATTTTGAAATTCGATTCCTTTGAAACTTTTTTTTCGATTTTTTCCCAACTTAAAAATTTTTGCAATGAGATCTCTTTTTAGAGATTTTGAAAAAAGTAATTATCTTTTAACTTTGGTGTGACCACGTTGAATTATTTCGATATCATCTATTCCGGTTCGCCACCACATAATTCGGCTCTACACTTCAATGTAACCAACCTTCAATTTCAGTTCTCAAGAAATCGAGTCAATTAAATTAATTGGTATTAATATTCGAATTCAAAAATAAAATATAACAAACACTACAAATGTACATTCCACGAAAGTAAGTCAAAATGGAAAAAACATGCAAAATAAAACATTACGATCGTACATTTCAAAAGTCAAAATGAAAATGTTAATATATCACATTTTAAGCAATTTTTCTGAATTTTATCCTTTTTGACAAAGAGACAATTCCGAATTTGTATAAATCGTTAAAATCAGTTCAGCGGTTCTTAAGTTGTAAGCGTAGTAACTAACACAACTTTCTTTTATATTATATTATATTATATTATATTACATTATATTATATTATATTACATTATATATTATATTATATTATATTATATTATATTATATTATATTATATTATATTATATTATATTATATTATATTATATATATTATATTATATTATATTATATTATATTATATTATATTATATTATATTATATTATATTATATTATATTATATTATATTATATTATATTATATTATATTATATTATATTATATTATATTATATTATATTATATTATATTATATTATATTATATTATATTATATTATATTATATTATATTATATTATATTATATTATATTATATTATATTATATTATATTATATTATATTATATTATATTATATTATATTATATTATATTATGTTATATTATATTATATTATATCATATTATATTATATAAGATTATATTATATTATTGTATATAAGATGTACTGACCAATAAAAGGGGATGTTGAATGGTGTGTCATACATTAGGTTCTGCCCTGACAAATTTTCTTAATAAAACACGGTTTGGGGTTTCTTATTATTTTTTTCTTATAATTTCATACATTTTTGCCTCCGGTACTGAAGACTAAATGAAAATGAGTGCTACTTTAATTCACGTAAACTACTCTATTTACTTTCATTGTCCTATTCTGTGCATATCTGCCCTCATCTAGAATTTTAAAAGGGCATTATACTACGTCATTTTAAAGAATAATTTTTAATTATTGGTTTGGCACTCAATTCTATATGCTTTGTTTGTTACTTCAAAATTACAGCACACACTAAAACACATCCTGACAAATAACACTCAGTTATGACGACGACATGGTTCGATGTCATCGTCGACACCCTGCATTAACAGAGAACACCATGCAAATATTGGAGTCAGCCATGCCACCACCGAACCTTAGACAATGGCACACAAGAATCAAAAAAAAAAAAAAAATGATTCCGTTTAGGATTTTATCGTACATTTATATTTTTAAATGAAAAAAGTTTGAATGGTTTGATTAAAAATCCAATTGCTAAGTTTTTGGAATGTTTTGATCAGATGTTCCACGATGTAGATGTATGCAATTTTCTTTGCAAGTTTAATTTTTAGTAGAAATAATTGTAAGTACCTACCCATGTGGTTTGTATATGCCGAATTATTTAAAAATCACATAGTAAGAATTGTTTATAAAATGCTAAATATATTTTCAGTTTCATGTCCAAGGTAAACGTTTTCGGAAATTACGTATTGAAATTTGCAGGTATAATTTTAGTTGCTGTTATCTCATATTGCAATTTTTAAGAACGTGTTCAAAATTTAATTAATAAAGGTTGATTTTTTTTAAAATAGTTTTTCTACACATGTGACATATACGCAAAGTTTCGGCGCATCGTGAACACGACCCATGACCACATAGAAAAGCGACATCACGAATTCTTTCCATACATATACTACAATAGTGGGATTCTTCGTATTCGAGAATTTTATTTTCCAAGTACCGCAGACGTTCTACAGCAGGTATGTTACTAGAATCTGTATTTGGCAAAATTCTACCATTTTCACCAATTCTTCTTTCGATATAAACAGTGCATCTCAAACACTTTTTCATTCGCTTGCCGCAATCTTCACATGATATTTGGTGCTGGCATGGCTCAAATGTAATTAACGGTAAATTTTCATCACATACAATGCACGTTTGAGGGATAAAAGCTGGGGATATTGACTCAATTTGGTCGTCTTGTTTAGTGTGAACTGATATTCCATCTTCTGCTGTCGATTGCATTTTGGTCTTACCTGTAACGTCGATTGAGTCTATGAACGGTGGTATTCTACTTTGTGTTGTATCTTCATTAGAAGCTGTTTGCAAATCTAATGCTGATGATCTGCCAATATCCGACTGTTCAGGGTTGGTGGATGCTAATCCTTCTTGAATATTTGGGTCTAATCTCATTACATTTATGTTTTGGGCAATTTGCTCAATAGCAGATTCTGTTATGTTTGTTGTTGTTGAAGAATTTTGGACATCAATTTGCAGAGTCGCCACACTTGGTCGGTGTTTTAATATAAGTTGTTTGCGCTTTATGTCTGTTATCCATTCAAATATGTTTATACCTTTATTGTTGTATTCTATTTGGCATCCCAAACGATGTAAATAACATAGCAATGTGTACATAAGTCTATCCTCATGAACATGTGATAAGCTTTCATAAATCGCAAATATTTCTGGTGAATCTGCTACTGTTGGTTCTGCAACTTGTAGGAGATTATTTTTCTTTACAACACATAAGTGCATTGCGTTGTCCCCATCCTCATCACGCGCTGTAACATCACAACCCAATTTTGCAAGTTTTTCAATGGCGGACACATGACCTTGAGAAACCGCTAAAAGAAATGGAGTTTGGCGTCGATTATTTCGAATGTCAATATCTGCTTGTCCCTCTTTGATGAGCGTCTCTACCACATTTGCGTGGCCATTAAGGGCAGCTAAATGCATTGCAGAAAATCCATCATCTTTTTTTACATTAACGAGCTGTCGAGCCAGCTGCAAGATGCGTCGAGTAGCAACAACATTGCCTTTGAGCGCAGCATGATGAAGCACATTAAATCCTCTATTATTTTTAACAGTAAAATCTAAACTTGGCGAATTGCATAATATTTCTACAACTTCTGTGTTTTCTTTCCCTATAGCATCATGGAGAGCTGTATCACCATATAAGTCCTGTATGTTTACATCAACATTGTGGTTCAATAATTCTCTAACACAGTGAGGCGTTTTTTTTATGGGCACAAATATGAAGTGCGGTACAATGGCTGGAATTGAGAAAATTTATATTCGCCCCGTTTTGAAGGAGGATTCGCATAGTTTCGGGCTGGTTTCCGAAAGCTGCATAGTGCAAAGCGGAATCACCTTCCTTATCGACTATATTTACATTTGCTCCTTTAGAAATCAATAATTTTACTATGTCCACAAATCCTTGGTGGGCTGCTACCTGAATGGATGCCTTTCCCCCACTCATGACATTAACATGATCTGGATGTGTTTGTAGGTATTGTTTTACAAAGTCGATGTGCCCATGTGCGGCTTCGCGTACCAACTTATCAGCCATTGAAGATCCAGATAAACCAGATAATGGAGTCATAACATGATCCGTGCGTCTATTACTTAAATCCATCATACTATTCGACCGTTCTGCGGCTGATGCAATTGGAGATCTTTCCAGCTTAACACATTTTGGGTTAAGAGTCCATTCGAATCCATCATCGAGTTGTTCGAGACGTAAATCACCGTCGGAGTAAACTTTAACGACCTTGCAGAGTTTGCCAAGTGCCTAAAAAACACAATCAACTAATGAATTTGAATTCTGTAACATATCTTACATATCGCATAAGTTCTATCCACTCGCCGTGTCCCTTTTGAAGTTGCTGTACTGTTGTTGCATCATTTATTATAGTAACTAAATCTCCGACGCGAAACGACATAACTTTAACCAGGGCGGTTGGATGAAAAGTCCATCTATTCGAGCAGTTCTCATACTGTACCCTGAAATTCAAAATTGTATGTATTTATATTATTTCATATATATTTGTATTATAGCTTTTAGCAAGATATGAAACATTTAGGATATGTCCGTGACCAACTTTTATTAAAATGGAAATAGTTTTATAAAATAAACAGAAGTTTATTTATATGAGATTTATAAAAATTGCTATAACCACATTTATAATGCGCTCCATAAAATGCTGCAAAAGGGACAAGCGAATTGTAGAACTGTCACAGTGAGGCTGTGATACCCACAAATACCACAAAAATAAAGAATATGCAGCTTGTGGTGAACATTACATTCCTACATAATATATTTTATTTATTATCATGTTAGTTGCTATAATACTTCCCATCAATTCAAACGTTCTTAAGGGTTTAAATATTAAGACTTAACGTTCATTGCACATGTTCCTTTTAATGAACATGAACGTTTTGTACAGTACTTCCACATTCTCATCAGATTCCTTGTCTACCCAATTTGACAATTCTCTTTTCTAACTAATCTTTCTTTTCCTTACTTTATAAAAGCATAAGCATGGTTAAAGCTCCACTAAATATAGCTGTTTTATTGGGGTCTATACGACGTTGACCTACATAGGCATTGTTTGTCATAAGCCATTACCATATTCAAATTCGAAAACTTGAAATAAACGGTGAATAATGTAGCTAAAATCATCAAAATAACGTATACAGGGATGTACCGTTACATCTGTAGTATCCATCACGAACTTCAAATACCAAATTTGAGACAATTCCGGTTAATAATGTCACTAAAATAATAAAAATACCGAATATTGTGAGGTACCGTTATATAGGGGCTATACGAAGACGTTGCCCTGCACAGTAAATGTTCTGTCTTATGCTGTAATATTCCTTTGGAACTACAAATATCAAATTTGAAACAATTCCGGTAAATAATGTCGCTAAAATCATCAATATACCGAAAATCGGAAGGTACCTTTATATGGGGGCTATATGAAGACGTGGACCTGAACAGCCAATTTTCTGTCTTAGGCTGTAATGTCCCTTTCGAACTTCCAATACCAAATTTGAAACGATTCCGGTAAATAATGTCGCTAAAATCATCAAAATACCCAATATCTGGAGGTACCATTATATGGGGGCCATATGAAGACGTGGACGTGCACAGACAATTTTCTGTATTAGGGTGTAGTATCCATTACGAACTTCAACTACCAAATTTGAAACAATTCCGGTGAACAATGTCGCTAAAATCAACAAAATACCGAATCTCGGGAGGTTCCGTTATATATGGGCCATACGAAGACGTGGACCTACATGGTCCATTTTCGAACTTAACTTACCTTCGAAAGATAACGTGATTACAACAGACAGACAGACGGACATCACTAAATCGACTTTTACACTGATCAAGAATATATATACTTTCTTGGGTCTGACAGGAGTATTTTGAGGAGTTACAAACGGAATGACAAAGTTAATATACCCTCCATTGTATGGTGGAGGGTATAAAAATACCATCATCTACACAATCGGATGTATATTTTTTGAGGTAAAGTTAATTCAAAGTGACTAATGTTGAAAAGTTAAAATTAATTTTCGGAACATATTATTCGGATTAATTTATTTAGTAGGCGGTAATATAACATTCTCCCCTGCTTAGTAATCTATACTTCCGAACTGTGATCTGAACAAAGAGTCAGTGATAAACATATTAAAATACCATTTATTTCAACATACGAAGTGAGATTCTTCTTTAATACAATGCGGTGTTCTTACCCTAGCGAGAAGCACAGGTGTTTGCAGACAACGTGCAATCAGGCAGATTTCTAATCAATTTCTGCAATTCCGCAGTTGACTCCCGGATTTCAAAAACTTTTCTACCAGAACGCTGCATTCCATCCTTTCATATCAACCTCACTTCGTCAAGGAAATGCATTCCTACCTGATTGAAGAAATCATTAATTTAAGAAATCTTTGGTACCCATTTCAAACCTTCTAACCGGAAAAGCTCGTGACTGGTTTTGGAGGTATCACAAGCAGGTTCCGTCGGTTACGTGGCCTGAATTTTGTGACGCCATAAGAAATCAATATAAATCTGCTTATCATATTCGTGAAGAAATTCGCAATCGCAAACAGAGGCCAAACGAAAGTTGACGCTTTTTTTCGAAACCATATCAGGACTTATTGATCGTTTACCTTTACAAATGACAGAATTAGTTGAAATAATTCAACGCAACTTAAGACCAGGTATACGCCAGGATTTACTATATGTCGCTATAGGATCTATGTTTGAGTTACGTAAATTAGTCCAAAAACGACAAAATTTTCTAAACAATGAACACGTTTGGCTTCGAGGCCCCAAAACTCCAACTTCGTGACACGTAAACATATAGCAGAGGTAGATGAAGACAATCAGATAGAAAATCATAGTGAATTAAATGAACATTTTGTAGAGGTTTTGCTAAAAACCGAAAGTCAGAAATGTTTGAACTGTGACACTATTGGCCATCACTGGCAAGACTGCGTTCAACAACGTACTGTATTTTGTTATGGCTGCGGTGTCAAAAATGTTTACAAACCGAATTGATTAACATGTAACATTAAGAAGCAATAATATCGACTTCTGTTGATGAATTCGAAAGCCCTCTCACAGATGCCCAAAAACTGAAAATAAGAATTCAAACTATGCTTTTACAGAGCAGAAACCCAAAAAATATGAAGTGCCAACGGACTTGAAATTATGAAAACCACGATCGAGACAGACCAAAAACACACAATAACCATTTTGAAAAGGCGTGAAATTGAAAATATTTCTAAGGAAAAAGTTAAAATTTTATATCCCAAGTTTCCATACCATCAGCGTTGGGAACTGTACGTAAAAAGTGGTAAAATTCAATCTATGAAACTCTTTATAATACCTTCGATATCCAATAAGCTAATTCTCGGATTAGACTTTTGGAGGTCTTTTAACCTAATTCCAAATATTTTACACTTAGTTGACTTATTAGCCATCGACAACAACACAAATGTAACTCTTTCGGAAATCGATTCCCCAGATTGCAAAATAGCGCAGAACCTTGAGCAATTTATTTATTTTTATTTATTTTGATCAAGTCTAGCACAATGAGAATGATTAAATTCTTATAAACTAGTGCTAGTGGTATATCGTAAGTACATTAGATTGGAAGATTATAATGACATTAGCTTATTAAAAATGAACAATAACAATATTTATGGAGTATTTACACTGTAGAATTTTTTTAATTCAAGTTTAAATCGCAGGTTGTTGCATATTATCTGTATATATGATGGAAGGCTATTCCAAAGACGAATAGTTGGTATATAAAACTGTTTTTTCCGACTTGGTGGTTTTGAATTTGAACTGAATTATTTTCTTTCCTCTATTCGAGTTGGCAAATTTAATACGATCTTTCAAGTATGATGGTTCGTTGTTTGTTAAAATTTTATGCAAGAATACAAGGCTTCTGTATTTAAGATAGTCCTCAAACCTCATTTTGAAAACGTGAAAGGCATGTGCCGATATGCGATCATTGCGTCCTTTGTTAAAAACATATCTTGCAATGTTATTAAAAGCAATTTTTAGTTTTGATTGGTCGGAAGCGTCGCAGTTGTAAAACACTTCAAGGCCATAAAAAAGAGTAGGAATTAAGTAGGTTTTGGCCAGAAGCATACGAATTTCCAATGGTGTAGAGGATTGAACGGCCCATAGGTTACGTAGCATTCCGTGCACTTTTCCAACAGCAGAACTGACGTGGTTAGACCATGAAAGTCTATCATTAAAGATAACTCCAAGGTTAGAGGCAGAAGAAACGTAATCAATAGTAGATCCATTTATTTTCAAATTTTCAAGGTATTTAATGTTTTGCTTATTCTTAGAAATGTAAATGCATTTTGATTTAGCTGGATTTATAGTTAATTTGTTGTTTGAAGCCCAGTTATTGACTCTATTTAAATCATAGTTGGTTCTCCGAATACTGTTTTGACAATCTTGTGAATTGAATCCCATATACAATTGGACATCATCTGCATATATATGTAGCTGACAGTGTTCTAGAGCTTCAGGAAGATCATTAATATAAATGCAGAACAGCAAAGGCCCCAATACTGAACCTTGTGGGACACCATTGTTTATTGGTAAAGGTGTTGAAAATTTATTGCAATGAAAAACGGATTGTGTGCGGTTACTGAGGTAGGAATTAATGAGACGACAGGCCGGTGAGGAGAAATTAAATATCTTTTCAAGTTTTGTCAAAAGTATTGAATGGTTCACGGTATCAAATGCTTTACTATGGTCTAGAAGTATTAAGAATGAGTCTCTCATATTGTCCATATTGCTTCTGAGTTCCTCGGTGACATCGATTAGGGCAGTAACACAGCTTCTATTTTTCCTAAAGCCAGATTGCCGCTCAGTCAATAACTTGTTGAAAGTAAGATATTGGTTTATCTGTTTATATATAAGGTTTTCCATAACTTTAGATAACAGGGGTAATATCGATATAGGACGAAAATCATTATTTGATTTAGGTAGTGGTACAATCTTTGCTTTTTTCCATGCATCGGGGAAAACGGATTTCGTGAGAATGGTGTTGAACATGTATGTGATGAAAGGCAAAAGTATTGGCAGTATTATTCTCAGAAGTTTGGGATGTATACAATCCATTCCGACAGCATTTGATTTAATTTCTTTGAAAATAGACAAAATTTCTTCACGATCAGTACATCTAAACGAGAACTCATTATCATTTCTTGCAACACTTAAGTTCAAGTAGACATTTTCATTGTTATTTATAGAGTTAGAACAAACAAACTTTTTGTTAAGGTCCTCAACATCAATATCAATATTTTTAAGGGATTGCTGTTTTTGGCCAATGCCAATTTCACGAATTTGCTTCCACTTGCTTCTGCTATCCACCGCTGTAGAAAACTTATTTTTGAAGTATGAAAATTTGGCTTTTTGAATAGATTTAGTGACTTCTTGCCTTAAGGATTTAAATTGCGAATGTATCTCAGGTGTTTTGTACTTTTTCCATCTTTTATATACGCAGTCTCTCCGATGAATTAATTGTTTGATCTTATAAGAGAACCATGGCTTTTCTTTATTCTTTGGTACGATCGATCTCAGCGGAACAACTTCATTCAAGATATCATTACATTTATCTTGGAAAAAAGCAACTTGATCATTAACATTTACTTTGTTGTAAATTTCATCCCAGTGTATTGAGCATAGTTGTCTATACAATAGATCATAATTAAGCCTCTTGAAGTCTCGAAAGGTAATTGTTTCTTCAAAGGTGGCAACTTCAACATTGTAAGCCATAAACAGAAGATCATGTTTAGAAAACACAGGAGCAGAGAGTTGGTCATACAAAAGGATTTTTTGCAATTGATTAGTAAAAATTATGTCAATAAGACTGTTTGTGGTGGTATGAAAGTGTGTTGGTAATGTGGTGTTTACTGGATACAAGTCGAGCATGCGAAAGTGGTCTGGTACAAAAGATTCCATAAGGAGATTACAATTGAAGTCACCAACAACAATAATATCATTATAAGGCATTGATTCATTTTGTAGATCAGACAGTAAATTGGCGATATCAATATTTTTATTTGGTCTGTATACGCATCCAACAAGAATTTTCAGAGAACTTTTCATTATTAGCTCCAGAAATATGTACTCACTTGGGTTGTCGTAACCTGACTTAATTTTAATTTTGCATGTAATTCCATGTCTTACATAAATGCAAGCGCCCCCAGCGTGTCCTTTCCGGTCAGCACGAAATAGTTTATACCCAGGTATATTATACACATCATCAAGAATATCAGAGTGAAACCATGTTTCGGAAACACAAATAATATCAACCCCTGAAGAAACAAAAAGTCGACGAAATTCATCCATTTTATTATTGAGGCTCTGTGCGTTAATGTGTACCAACTTTAGTCCAATCCTTTGTCTAACAAGAATTCTTATCATGTTGAAAAGTTCGTCTTTGGAATTAATAACATCATCCCAGAACATATATAGCAGAATTAATAGCAACTGGTACCTGCGTGGTTATTATCAATGAATATACTTTTAATATGGAAAGTTTAGACAATAATATTAAAAATTATAATTGATTGAAATGGACAATAAATTAAAATGTAGCAAATTAAAAAGTGAAGAAATAATATTAATACATTTTAAAAAGATGGAAAACATTTTTTTCAGTGTAGCATTGGTGATATGCATATTGAACGGCAACATCGATGGGTACTGTGGTTGGCAATACTGTAGTGGCAACTCTGCATTAAAGAAATAATGTAAATCATGACATTCCATTGTCAGTATTGGCAATTGTTGACGAAGATGAACGAAAGGGAAAAAGGCTGTTCAATTTGTCAAATGATTCTGATCAACTGACTTCATTCCTCTAACAACCTTGCAACGTAATTAGCTTCAAACTGTGATCGAAATGTTTCCCGATTTTCAAAACCAGGGCCTGGAAAGAACGGAACTTATAACCCATGCTATTGATGTAGGTGATGCCACTCCAATAAAGCAACGGTTTTACCCACTGTGTCCTGCGGTTGAAAAACTGATGTTCAAAGATATAGATCGCATGTTAGAACTCGTAGTCATAGAGCCTTCAACCTCCGCATGAAGCTCTCCTATGCGACTGGTTGTCAAACCAAATAAAGTCCGGTTGTGTTTAGATGCCAGGCGTCTGAATGCAGTAACAAAAAAGATGCATATTCGCTACCGAACATCAAAGGAATCTTCGCTAGACTTCCTTGTGCCAATCTAATATCAAAATTAGATCTTAAAGATGCCTTTTGGGAAATTGGCCTGGAGCCTTCATCAAAACATTTCACGACGTTTACAGTGCCTGAAGATAATTATACCAATTTAAGGTAATGCCTTTCGGGCTCTGTAATGCGCCGCAGACTATGTGCAGGGTAATGGACGAAATCATTCCCCCTGACTTACGTCATTATATTTTTGGGTATCTGGACGATCTTGTTATCGTGTCAGATGATTTTCAGTCCCATCTAGAAGTCCTTGTCCGCATCGCTACCCAATATCGGAATGCCAATGTAACCTTGAACATTGGTAAAAGCAAATTTTGTGCAACGAAAGTGAATTATTTGGGATATATAATAGGAACCACCGACCCCGAGAAAATAACTGCAATATCAAATTGGCTTGTACCACGGAACCTCAAGCAAGTTAGATTTATTAAAAGTTTTATTAAAAATTTCTCCTCTGAAACTTATACTATTTCAGAGACGTTAAGATGCAAGGAAAATTGAAATGGACAGACGAAGCCCAAACAGTTTTTGAAAAAAATTAAACATTTGCTTACTTCAGCACCGATTTTGACTAATCCGGACTTTAGCAAAAAGTTCTATTTGCACTGCGATGCAAGCAACTTCGGAATTGCACTAATACCAATTGGACGGCGAAAGTAATGAAAGGCAATCGCCTTTATGAGTAAGAAATTGAACTCGGCTCAGCGCAATTATAGCGTAACTGAGTATGAATGTCTTGCTGCTGTCGAGACAATAAAAAAGTTTAGATGTCACTCTTGGAGTTCGAAGTAATTACTGGCCATTCGAGCCTTTTATGGTTAATGAAGCAACTTGACCTCAGTGGGAGATTGGCTAGGTGGGTATTCAAGCTTCAGGCATATTGGTTCACAATAAGTCATCGAAATGGTAAATACCGTGTGGTCCCAGATGTGTTATCGAGAATCCCCGAAGAGCAACTTTGTAGTCTCGAAATTTGTGAGTCTGAGATTGACCTAGATTCCCCCTCATTTGACACTAATGCGTATAAGGAGCTTCGAGGCAAAATTATAAATAACCAGTCCCAATATCCTGATTTGAAAGTGATTCATCAGTATGTATATATCCGCACTCAACACTATACCGGTCGTGAAGAGCAGGAAGAACAGTGTTGGAAGTTATGGGTTCCAGAAGAACTTCGGAACCAGGTTATTTCCAGAGCTCATAACAATAAAATTACTGCTCATGGAGGCATGCACAAAACTATCGATTTGATTAGAAAAAAATCTTTTGGACTGGAATAGTCTCCGAAGTAAGAGAATTTGTACAAAAATTTGAGATTTGTAATACAACAAAATCTCCAAATACTGTTATGAAACCTCCTATGGGAAATCATGCCCAGTCTGTTAGACCATTTCAGCGGATTTATGTAGATCTTTTAGATCCATATCCGGGAAATATAAGTATACTAATTATTCTAGATCATATATCTAAGCTACACTGGTTATTCCCACTTCGAAAATTCACTACTACTGTTTTTCAGGAAATCTTGCAAGGACAGATATTCCACTTTATGGGGTACCAGAGATAATTGTCACAGTCAACGGCAGCCAATTCAGAGCCAATGACCTAAACGCCTTTTTTACGTGCTATGGAATTCAACACGTCTACACAGCCTTATATTTGCCGAATGCCTCGGAGCGAGTGGATCGCTCTTAGATTGCCAGTATAAGAGCATTTTTGAAAGACGATCACAGACAATGGCACCAAAATTTGACATCAAAAAGTTGCGCTTGACGTAACTCTTTACATCAAAGCATTCAAAGGTCCCCATACCATATTTTATTTGGGTTTGACATGGTGACCCACGGTTCTTCATACAAACAAAATTTTAAACTATTGGATGAACCCTGTACTTTTCTATATAGATATGACCACTTACAGACCATTCGACAAAATATACGTAAACATATTAAAGAGGCGTATGCGAAGAATCAGCATAAATATAATTTGAGTGCAAGACCTCAGACTTTTAATGTTGGTGAAGAAGTATTTAAGCGTAAATTCACACAGAAAAGTTTTGAAAAAGCATATAATGCAAAAGCAAAATTCGAAAGAAACTAGGAAATCACTATTACGAATTGGGAGACATGCAAGGAAAAATTATCGGCATTTTTCACGGGAAAGATATTAAGAAGTAGTTGGATTTCCAGCTACTTTCCCATCGGATCCGAGGAAACTATCTGGTTTTGTGGTGAACATTACATTCCTACATAATATATTTTATTTATTATCATGTTAGTTGCTATAATACTTCCTGTTTACGCGCGTATTAATAAAAGATGTTGCCGGCTTGGATGTTGGTTGAGTACTAATTTTATTTAACAAAAATAATGCAACCTAATAATAATTCTTATCTCTTCCTCCTTAATCCAGTAATCTTCCCTACCTACTGTGTGCATAGATAAGTGCGTGTGTAGGTAATAACCTTTATTATCAAAAGCATTATCGTATGCACCAGTGTACATGATCAATGAAGGTTACACATATGGATTTAATGACTGGGAAACTCACAAATGGATTTAATGGCTGGGAAACTCACATATGGATTTAATGACTTCTTGGAAATTGATAACATTGGAAATTCTATCTTAAGTACATAAAATTCATAGCAAATAAGCAGATCTACATTACAATTTATTATCTAAGACACTTAATTATTTTATTACTTCTTCTAAGCTAGATAAGATAAAATTCAAACGTTCTTAAGAGTTTAAATATTAACGCTTAACGTTCATTGCACATGTTCCTTTTAATGAACGTGAACGTTTTGTACAGTACAGTACACATTGCCATCAGATTCCTTGTCCACCCAATTTGACAATTCCCTTTTCCAACTAATCTTTTTTCCTTATTTTATAAAAGCATTAGCATGGTTAAAGCGCCACTAAATTTACAACTTCCTTTTTATTCTGACCTTCAAAGTGACAACAACTGAAAAGTCTTAAAACTAATTTTAAAACTTGGTCATAATCTCAGATTAATTTCCATATTTTTACCATTTGGATTTTAAAAATACCATCATCTATACAATCGGATGTATATTTGTTGTAGTAAAATTAATTCAAAGTGATTAATGTTGAAAAGTTAAAATTAATTTTCGGAAAATTTTATTCGGAATAATTTATTTAATAGGCGGTAATATAACATTCACTCCTGCTTAGTAATCTATACTTCCGAACTGTGATCTGAACAAAGAGTCAGTGATAAACATATTAAAATACCATTTATTTCAACATACGAAGTGAGATTCTTCTGTAATACAATGCGGTGTTCTTACCCTAGCGAGAAGCAGAGGTGTTTGCAGACAACGTGCAATCAGGCAGATTTATATCATCTAATCACTTTCTACAATTCCGCAGTCGACTCCCGGATTTCAAAAAGCATTACATAACCTATAACTACCATTTGAACTAAGATTAAGACCGAATACGTCCATCACAAGACAATTCCAAGGAATCCTGAATCAAGTTTTATAAAAAGTATTATAACATTAAATGACAGACTCACTGTCATTAAAAAAATCTGTCATTTATATTTGCTGCAAGATTATATTTTCATATAAAATGTGCAGTATCACTAGCAGTTTAGCAGAAGGCCTTCTACAAAATCTGAATTTGGTAAGTGAGAAAATATTGTGAAATAATAAGATCATTGCATATAATCTTGCACTAAATTTTGGTACTCACCGTATAACGAGTGCAACGTAAAAAAATCTTGTTCATTATTTATGTCATACATAATTTTGTTCTGTTATACAATTGCAATTTTAAAATATTTACTTCCTCACTTCCACCTTAACATTGTTGTGGTGTTTCTGTTTTTGCTTTTGGTTACGTTATGATCTATTGATCATAAGCAAAAAGAGAAGAACAAGAACAAAAGCAAAAACAAAATTAGTCTATCGAAGGAATGTGCAAAATTCTTGCCCATGATAAAAGTCTTTGATTTCGTTTGTTTTATGTATAATTTGTTTTGGTTTCATTTTGCTCAATTGAAGAGAATAAATTAAAACAAACTGTAATCAGTTCCTTCAAGCCATTGAGGGTAGTTAGATTTATAATATTCATTTCTTATTTCTTTTCATCTTGTAATTATGTCTCTTAATATTTAATCCTATAAACACAAATTTAATTACTCTAGATTTTTTTTATTTTCAACGTTGCTAATACATAATGTCATGAATAAAACCTTGTAATCGTAATTATGGATTGTTAAGCAAAACATAATGTTTTCTTCCATGGAGATGGATGTATAAAGAGAGAACTAAAAAGGTTAGGGGTTTTAGCAGAAACAATTGAGTACCGCTAAAACAATGGTTGGCGTGGGTTAAGAGGTATAGACCCCTCAAGAACAACAGAGGTTGTTTCAATTTAAATAACAGATTTCCAGCTGAAGTTATTATTTTACAAAAAAAAAAAAAAAAATAGTTTTTTTTTTTATTTTCTTATCATAATAATTATTGTAATGAAAAAAGGTATGATTGATAGAGGGCAATAACCCCCCACCGACCCTTAGCTAGCAAGTCAAAGGCTCCCTTAAGTCAATCGTACTCTATGTTGCCATAGTAATAAATTTAAAATATGCAACCGACATCAATTCTGGTATTGACCATTACAAGCTAGAACAACATAACAAGCTCTTCCTCAGAAAAAGATTACGTTCAATATTGTTTGCTATTGTGAGGTTATAGAAGTGTTAAAGCCTAACAAAGATCATACGTTTAGACCCCGAAATGTAAAAGTAACACACATCAATACACAGTTTTGTTGCCTTTTGGCCATGTTGATGTTTTTGGTCAAAATCTATATGAAAGAACAACTTCCCTTTAAGTTTTTATATCTGGAAGTCTTATTAATATATCCTTCTTAAAACAATAATTATGATTTTGTATTTAATTTGATTTTTATTTGAGTTTCTCTTGCATGTGTTTTCGATATTATTAGAGCTGATTTTAAAAAATTAGCTCTTATTTTTGAAGATAACATGAACAAATGTCAAATATCAATCGCGAGCTATTACGCAACAATTTAAATAGTTCTTAACTTTACCGCTGTGTTGACAGCCTGTCCCGAACAAAACGTTTTTCGATAACCGAACCATTGATTTTTTTCACAGTTTTTGTTTTTAACCGAAAGCACTTGACTGCAGTCACGGTACAATAATTTTCAAGGTAGGGCATAGAAATCACCTGAATAAATTGTTTCTATGGTAGCCTGGTAATGTCAAAACACTTACTGTGATTTTGCATGTGTAAAATTTTCAAATTCTGTTAAAATTGAAACTTACAGTAATTGGGGAGAACATTTCTTTGAGCTTTGGGATGAAAGCAAAACCTAGTCATATTAGAAACATCATGGTGTGGACAATCCGCTACTTTTCATTAGGATTATTAGAACTAATAATGTATTTTGAATTCAAAATTCAAGATTTTATTAATAAATGGTTAAATACACGAAAGATATGCGAAACATAATTTTAAAACCTTATTGTTTAAGTTAAAATTGCAAATTGCCAAATGATCCAGAGAGCCTACGTTCGCTTAGTACGGACCGTAGAGAGATGCATTCTTGGGCTAAAAGGTTGCCTGCAACTTCCCCTTGGAGCCTACGTTCGCTTGGCTCGGACCGTAGGGAGAAAGCCTTTCTAGTCTGAAGATTTTCCCTACAACTCTCCTTGGGGCCTACGTTCGCACAGCTCGGACCGTAGACAGCTTTTCCAAGTCATTTCTCTACAACTCTCTCTGGGTACTTTCTCAGTCCATGTTGCTGTTAGAGATTTCCTGGAAGCATCGGTGCTACCAGCCACCTCGATGCATTGCGACCTTGCATTCATAGTGACTCTCTTGCTAGCTACGGAGCTAACCCCATAAAAAAGGTAATCTGTCGACTCGGGTTGACAAACTCTCACAACGCCTCAATAAACGGTCATTTGTATTATATTTAAAATAATCCTTCTTTGGTTTTATATCTCTTTATTTCTACGGTCACGGTTTGTATGCCTGGGAGAACAGCAGCGTCTCATACGGAGAGAAACATTTGGTCCGCTCGAGACGGATTTCTCATCAGTGCCTTTTCCTTTGTTTTCTCCAGGCATTACGTACGGAAAATCATCCCTCCGCATCCTCATACAGTCCACACAACATACATAAAAAACATCATCTTCATCAATTATCAACAAAATAACAGGTACGTGAAATCATTTTCTATAAGTGAGCGAAAAGGATAAAGTAGAATAAACGAAAGGAAAAAAGTCGCGAGTGCACATTCGGAACATAATTGTTTTAAACACATATGTGCTTGTCGTCCATCTATCACGCTAATCTCGGCATAAACGACAATATACGTATTTGGTTTGCATTGTGTTTTTTTTTTAATCTCAAGTCCCTTCCAAGAAGTGTTAACCATTTAATACTTGTTTTCACACTTCGCAGAATAGGAATGTCTTGCTAGGTACGGCTATGGTCAATATCCTTCATCAGGGTGCCTCTTATCCAGTTCGGGCTCTAATTGATCCTGGATCTGAGGCGTCCTTCATTACTGATCGCATTCAAAAGCAACTTCGGTTACCAGTACGTACGGTAGATGCTACGCTTTCTGGTGTCAACGGTTCCGTTTCTGCCACAGTAAGGAAAAATTGTTCGATTTGCCTTGGTTCTAACCACATTCCTTCTGTTAAGCTTGAGACAGTCGCTTTCATTCTCCCTCAGATTTCGGAAAACTTGCCTTAATTTGCTGTCCGGTCTAATATTTTTGATCAATTGCCCAAGCTACTATAAGCTGATTCTCACCTCTTTGACAGTCGTCCAGTAGATTTGTTGATAGGAGCTGATTTGTATCCCCAGATAGTGTTAGAGGGAGCTCATCAAAAGTTTCTAGGGTCACTTGTAGCTCAAAATACGGTATTCGGTTGAATCCTAACGGGTCCATTGTTAGCAAAACATATGCAAGTTTTTAATTCTAGGCTGCATTTCGAAAAAAGGAAAATCTTTTATGCGATTCAATATTGTCTCCTCCGATTAAAAGATTTCGTAGAGGTTCTGCTGTACCTCAATCGTATTGTAATAGAAAACGGGAAGAAAACTCACAAAATTTGCATGGAGGCATCGAGTTGTTAAGGTTCACACCGACGATGATGGAATGGTTCGGCTAATTGGCGTAAAGACTTCACAAGGGCCAATAACAAAGCGCGTCGTTCTCGCCAATTAAATTATGCTACTTTCTCTTGGTTTTATTATTTATGCCATTTATTTATTTATTTCGGAATGATTATTTTAAACTCATGCACTCGTTATCAATTTACAAATGAATTAATAAACAAAATATGAAATACGCTCACAAGAAACTGATCTCACGTCTTCTTACTTTTAAGTTACTTGATTAAGTTCTTAACATGTTGATTCTATTTAATTTATGGTCAAAGGGATCTCGGGATCCGTCGAATTAC